AATGTCCTCCTATAGACAACAAATATTCCTGCAATTGAGGGCGCTCTAATTAGCTTAGTCCCTGAACTGGCACTAAGCCGGTGATGACGAAATCTCAGCTTTAACGTGTTTATGCTCAAAGCGTGTGCATGCTTTATTAAAGCTGAGTTTGAAATCATTAGCTGATTCACGAACACAGAAAATTTCTGTGAAATTTCAGCTTTTAGATCTCCGTAGAGACCGTGACACAGGTAGACGTTGTTTTTAAGCTATCTGGATGGCATGTAGGCTAGAGAACTAATTTCTGCATTTACTGAGTTGAAAGTGGGTGAAAAAAACCCGAACACACAAACATAAATAAACATACGAACCGACAATCCCTTAATGCAAAAATGAATAAAAACTAACTAATCTGCAAAAGGAAGCAAAAAAAGCTCAGTTCGAACAATAAAGAAACATATAGCATACCAAAAATAAATGAACTTAAAAATACCCTTAACGAATGTTGTCCAACAGCTCTTGCTTCCTCGGCGAGGATCATTTCAATGGATTTTTTCTTCGGTGGCACTGGAGGCGGTGCATTTTTTTTAGGTGATAGCGCATGGGAAGCGGTGCCTTTTGGCGGCGGTATTGGTGGTGGTCGCACTAATCGTTTTGACTGAGTTTCATATTTTGTTGCAAAAGTAGCATTTGCGGACTGAAAAGGTTATGTCGTTGGGCTCCATGCAGGTAACTGCAGGAAGCTTGCTGGAGATTGCATACACAAAGCTTATCAAAATCATCGCAAAGACTGTCCTAGTTCTCAGAGGGAAACCCCTGACATAAGTGAGTTGCGACCACGTGCAGCTGTTTCGGGCCCTGGCGCTTTGGGTCAGTGTTTCATAGATGCAAGACATCGTCACCATTCTTACCCTGTTCAGGCTAATAATAACTATTTTAGTAAAGTTTGACTGTCAGTGATTCCACGCATCTGCCTAAACGTCAGAGCTCTGTGCTGCAGTGGATAATATACGTTAGGAATTTCATCCCGAACGGCGACAACAAGTGACAGCAGAAACGCTAAATAGTCACAGACTGAAATTACTGCATAAAGCTTTGTAGAGATGACCCAAAAAGTTGCGATGACTTTGGCTTTTCACTATCATGATACGACAGAGCCCATAAGCTTCAAACAAAGAAACGTTGAAAGTGCCCAAAAGC